ACTGTGGAAGAAATGCACGAAAGTTATCTGTAACCAATCGACACACTTTCTACAAGATGTAATGAAGGATGATTCTTTTTTGTGTTTTTGTGTAATTAAAATAAAAAAAACTTAAAAAAAAAAAGGTCTGTATGTTTAGCTGCAATTTTCATTCCTATTGTCTTCTGTTTTATTGATTTTACAGAGTTGCATAGTCTATTCGTTACAACTGATAAAGAGAAAGTTGGCTTATTTTCAGGTTTTAAAAATCTAATTGGGAAATAACTTTCAGGCCACCTAAATACTTTGAAGAGGAAAATTTAAAACTAAGAAGCAGCTTCCAACTTGTGGCACAGCAGAGTTGGCAATGGCATCTACTCCCTCATTGTCAGGCTTAAAAAAACAGGACCATACATGAAGATTCAGTTTAACTGATTTATTACTAAGGCCTGTTACCTGATATGCTACGTAGCATGGGATGATCTAATGCTAAAATCTAATGCTAAAAGCACGGGAATCTTTTCAACTGATGGTCAACAACTGGTTAGAGCTAGATAAGGGTCAACAGCAATAGGGGAAGGGTTGGACTTATTTCATTTGTGGCTAAATAATGACTCTAAATTGATCCTTCTTTTTACCCTTCCCCCTGGCTCTGCCAATTCTTCTCCTATATTCATCCATTGCTAAAATGATGAAAACATGTCTTATCTTAAAGAAATGAATAAAAACCTGACTGTAGATTTAGATTAATATCCTTTTGGCCTACCAATCCTGTAATGAACCTCCCAGTCTTCCTTCCTTGCTACTACAGCTTTTACTACTGCCAAAGTCCCGACATAGCATATGATATCCCTGTCTACTTAATGTGAAGTCTGCTAAACTGAGGTCTCTTAAATGAAATTGTTTGCTGTGATTCAGAGTAAACTGATTTTAAAAAATTGCTGTTGGAAATTAGTAAGATTTAGCTAGACATGCCTCATTTAAGTTCTGGTCCTGTCTTAGGTGCAATGCCAGTTGGGTCACCTTGAGCCAGACACTTTCTCCCAACCCTGGGAAGAAGGCAAGGGCAAACCACTTCTGAAAAATCTTACCAAGAAAATTGCAGGGACTTTCCCAGGCAATCTCCAAGAATCACAATTGAATGGAACAACAAAAAATAGTATGAATATAATATAGTATATTATAGTCCTGAAATGTATTTTGGGAACTTAATTCACTATTTTGAAATTTGGGAAAATACTTCCCTTCTTTTTCAACCAGAGCTTTTTAGTTGTCTATTGATTCAAGCTTTTATCGTAAATAACTTTAATAAGTTGGAATGTGATCAATTAGTTAAAATGAGTTTTCCCCTAATATTACCAACAAAACAGGATTACATTCAAAATCTCTCTCTCCCTGCCCCATCCATTCATTCTATTTCTATAGCTGCCCAGCTCAATCAAACTAAGCAGATTGTAATTGTACATAAACATTATGGGAAATTGAACCTCAAAATGTCTTAGAATAATTAATATTAGCTGATCATTTTCATAATAGATAGCTGCCAAAAATGTATAGACTGGCAATGCCCTCAATTAAAAAAATGTTTGATCTGTAGATGTGGCCGGGGGCCTTAAAGGATTTAATATGTTCTCTACACAATAACCCAATAATGATTACTTATTTTTTAAAAAAAGTTCCTCTAACACATAATTAGATGACCAAGATTATAAGGCTTTAAATAAAAAAACTATGACATCTTGATTCATGAAAATCAATGGAAGGGCATTTTTATTGCTTCTATAGCAGTAACATTTTAATTCAGAGAATTAGTGAAAAATGAAAGAAATGACACCTAATAGGTGTCAACTGTATTTAAAGGATAAAAAGAAAGCTTTACAGAGGGGCTTCAAGTTAGGATTTGTCAAGTGAAGTGTCAGGTAGTTTGAACCTGGTTAGGCTGATGGATCACTAGTTCTAGAACCCTTTCAGAAATAATGAAAAAGCTATTCCCCCAGCTGCACTGATAAATATATTAAGTGTGTGCAATTAATACATTTAGTTTGCTTGATGAGTTAGCTAAAAATATTTTTCTACAATTTGTTAAAACCTGAATTTTATGGAATTGTCAGAATATTTTTTTCTTGCCTTAATGAATCAATTATCTTTTAGCTCAGTATAACTGATGAAATTTAACTTTCCAAATAGTTTTCTAAGAGAAAGCTATTAACAGTTAATTGAATCAAGTTCTTATTCAAAATCCATTTTGTTGCATCAGACCCTCTTGATGAAATGGATTGGTTCGATTCATTTGGAAATTATTATACAAAGCTGTTTTGGATTATCCCCAATGTTAAGAAACTCAAACTCAAAAGCATGACGGAGTAATGTTTGTTAAATATTCTTCTCATGTGTTTTTAACACATTCTACATAATTTTAAAATAGCTTAAAGGGAAGGGTGTTGTAATTTCCTGTTTCCCAGCATTTTCTAATTTAGATCTGCAGTTTAAACATGTTAAAATCTAATCGTACAGAAGATAGATCTGTCACAATCTAAATTTGAAAAGGAATTACAAAGAATGAAAATTTAAATATACAGCTTTAAGTGAACAGGGGGAAAACTCCTTACTTCAAGTAAATGACCCCATGGACATCAGCAATCAAAGCTCTAGCAAACATCTGGGGCTAGTTTCTGTCTGCTCATAGAAAGCATTTGGATCTGCAGCAAGGATTCTCTATAAAATAAGTGATTTCCCCAGTTCATCTCAGAAACGATGAAAGCATTCTAGAACTCTATTCTGTTTGTTAATGAATGGGAATGAAGGAATTCTGAATTATTTTAGTCAAAGCAACAGGATAGATTTTCACTGCTAACTTACCTTTAACTCTCTTGTTTCTTCCATGTTTCTTATAATTCCTGAGGATATTGCAAAAGCTAAATGTGTTTGGTCAAATGACTGCCAAAATGGTCTCCAAAATTATTTTCTTTTAGCAGCAACTGGAGAAAGTTAAATAGCACGATGGCAACCCAGCTATTCTGCAAGTGAGAAAGTCCAAGAGAGATTTCAAACTATTTACTCAGTTGAGCTTGGGTTTAATGAGAAACAGGCTTCTCTTCTGGAACCAGTGGAAGGATCTCTGCAAATCAACAACTAGGAAAAAGGGGGAGGAAAAAGCTGACTCGGTTTTGTAATTTTATTTCAGACGTTAGCAATGGAACCCAGACATGAGTAAGAAAAACAGCATTTCTATCCCTAAGCCTTCAAAACTACACTAAGAACAAGGAGCAAAGAATATCTAAGTGGGGCAGAGCTTTACTGCTACTCATTCCCACTCCACAGGAAAATGAAAGAAACTAAAGAAACTCTGTGTTCTTCCTTCATATTATGTACATTTGTCTCTAGGCATTTGTTTAGGTTGTGGGGGAGAATGGAACTGGAAAGACATTAAAGCCTCCTTTATTTGTAAAAGGCTTGCTAGTGAGACTGAAATCAAGGAACCAGAGTAGAAAAAACCTGGCAGGTCAGAGAAAATGTTATGGAATGATTATGGTTGATGTTAGCCACATTTTAAAAATGCTCTTTTTTATTAATAATGGTCTGGTAAATAATGGACAAGCTTGTCTCAGCTTTTACACTGATTTCCAAAAAATGGTGTTTTACAAAAGGCTAGCATCCATTCAACTCCTGCCTTAGGCATGAAAGCCAGCTGAATAAGCTTGGGCCAGTTACACTGTCAACCCAACTCGCCTCACAGGGTGGTTGTTGCAGGGAAAATAGGAGGAAGGAGCATTAGATATGTTCACCATCTTGAGTGGTTTATAAAAATAATAAAGATAGAATATAAATTTATAAAATTACTTTTTGTGTCATTAAACCCAACATCTATTTCAGCTCCACCCCAGCCGTGGTCTACCATGTTACTGCTACCAATAACAGGAAAGATATCAATGCACCTCATCTTAAGACCTCTACATCAATAGGCAAGTTGGAACAATCTTCCTTTTCGAAACAATCTTTGTTCTTTGCCAGAGGGCTTGCGTATAAGTTATCCTTATCTTCATAATACAATTATTACTTTGGGTTTCAGCTCACAGAGTATAATCACAAGGGATAACAGTTATTATAGTTGCAGAATGCTTCAAATTCAATTTCTAAACTGTGCTTTAGTGTAGGCAAGTGCCAAATTTGTCTGCATTCTTTAATCCAGATTTTTTTTAGCAGGCCTCGTGGCAGCTGCTATGGAATAAATGAACTTTACAACAGGCTCTTTCTGTTGCAGACATTACCAATATTTGCAACTGATAGTTCATTTAAACAATGGCAGAGGGACATTTCTAAGTTTATATGGCAAGGAAAAAAACCTAGAATTAGATACAACTTATTGCAAGATGCTAATGAAAGAGTGGGTTTGGATTTAGCCAATTTGAAATTGTATTTTGATACACGCTGTTTGGCTGGTTAAAAAAGTGGGTGAACCTTCAGAACAAGAGGCTATTTGATTTAGAGGGCCATGAATTAAGGTTTGGATGGCATGGTTGTCCATGGTACAACACTAGATGTACCATACTAAGAGTTCGGAATAAATATAAAATAAGGTTTTCCAGTTGCCTCTTTGGGTGTCTGCTCATGAAGCTTTTTGTTTTTTTTACAACAATGGTTATGAAGCCAGACTGGTGGACTAATGGTAAAAAAGTATCTTTCAACTCTGGTATCCCTACCCTAAAGTTGACTAAGAGCTAGAATTAGGTTACGTTTACCATTGGTTTACATATCAACAACTGAAAGATTTAAATTAGATTAAAAGATTTGATTTAGTTAAAAATGAATTGGAAATCTTACTGTGTGGTAGTGATGAACATATAATAAGATTTATAAAATGTTACTGAAATTGAATTGGAAAGTGAACATGCAAAAACATTGTATGATTCAGTGGGCAAGGAATTTTGATAGAATGTAAACAATCGGAATATATATGGACAAAAGGTTTAAAATTCACGCTAAACTATAAACTAAACTATAATTTAAAAGAAATTTTTTTATAAGATGATGTACTACTGGTATCTAATACCAGATAAGTTATGTGGACTGTATAAAGGTATTCCAAATGAACGTTGGAAATGTAAAAGTAAAGAAGGCACCTTTTATCATCTATGGTGGACATGTGATAAAGCAAAGACATTTTGGAGTAAGATTCATATTTTAATACAGAAAATTCTTAAAACTAAGATAAAGGTGAAACTAGAAACTTTTATTTTGGGTTCAATCGGAAAAGACTTAGAAAAAAATGGAACTTTGAATTTATATATGTTGACAGAAGTAGGACTACTGTATGCAGAAGAATGGAAGGACACTTCAATTCCCACCATGGACGAATGGCTACAGAAGTTGATGAAGTTGGCAGAGATGGCTAAAATGACTGTTTTGATCAAAGAAAAGAATATAAGTATTTTTGTTGCTACATAGACTGTTTCTGGACTTTGTGCTTGAGGTGAAAAAATAAAATAAAACATTGATTTTGGGTTTTACTGATTAGATTGATTCATTGTTATAGAAATGGCTAGTTTATATTATTATGAAAAGTAAAAAGTTAAGGTTCGATGTTAATGCTTTATTCTTCTGCACACAGAGTTCTTCCAACTTTTGTTTTCTTTCTCCCCTTCTCATTTCTTTCTCCTTTTCCTCCTCACTGTGTCTTACAATTTGCTTTTGTATTTTATACTATAATCTAAGATTATATTTTATAGTATTTTATTCTATAATCTAATAAAATGTTTAAATCCAAAGAAGGAATAGATGAAATTGTACCCAGCTCCTATGGGCAAGCTCTAATAAAATTTGACATATTGCACACCCCTAAAATATATACGTACATTTTCAGACTCTTCTATCTGAAGGATAAGATTTGATTGTGTCAAAATGTAGAGCATACCATAAAATAGGAACACAAAACATTTGTGACCACTAATGTTTAATCCTTCATTGAGATATTTTGTGTTTCTTCCGCAAATTTTCTTTGTATATTTTACCATATAATTAATGACACTTAGAAATTGTTTGAGAAGTAGAATATACTATTAAATAGGTATGCATGGCTATTTTTAAAGTCTTGAATAGTATCATTTATTTGCAAGCTTGCTTTGCCGATACTATTCCTTCATGTTTGAGTCATTATTATTCATAGATATGTTTAAGTCAGAGATCCCTTAGCTCTGATTGCTCTCAGTGACATAGTATCTGTTGGAATAAGTGGGAATGCTGTTAGTATAATTGTTGTAGAATCTCTTTCCTAGCCATCCACTCATCAGTGACTTAATTATTTGTTAACAGCAAATTAATAATGAAGAAAAATGTAATATGAGACATCATACTCTACAACAAAGGGAGGTACTCATTATGTTTCGCAAATAAGTGAATTGCAGCTTCTTTCTAAATAAATCTTGGAAGACAGTTCTGTGAACTCTGATTGGGATAGGATCTAATTTTGCTTAGCACCAGAATGCTGCATTCAACACAAGGTAATTCATTTCATTTTCCACTCTCTATAGATGGCACAGCAGAGAATCAGTCATAGTGAAAATTCTTTACAAAGCCACTTCCCATTCTCTTTTTTTCTGAGAAGCTCGGAATCTGTTAATGGATAAAAATGTCTATATTAGAATTCACAATAATTGTTATTAAAACTATATATAACTTTTACAAATTAGGTTTTTAGAAATTATTGAACAAACAAAGCACTCCTCTGGTTCTACTTTTTAAGGCTACAAAGTGTCCACAGTTGTAAGTTTCCTGTAGTACTTCTGGATATATGGTTGCATAAAACAGTATTACAAATTTAAAAAACCCAATCAATGCTTTCTTGATCACTATCAAATACACAGATTGCATCAAAGTATCTAACCAGAAGTTAACAAAGCAGCTTTTACTGAGGTAAAACATTCCATGTTCTGAAATAAGCATATTTGCTTAGATAGCAATGTTGTTCTTGTTCTAGTCAGAAGCCCAAACTAACCACTATAAATTGTACCCTAAAGACTCCAAGAAGACTTCATGTCTTTAAATACTTATGTGACATTTTCCAAACTGCCTTGCCCCCCCCCCCCCAAAAAAAAATTCTTGGCAGGGATATATTTAGTCTTAGATTGCCAGCATTCAAACCATTTTCCAATCTGTTTAGCTGCTTCTGGAAAACCATCATGCTTACAATTCATAGTATTGCAGAGATCACTCAGAAGCAATCAGTGGCCCATTGTATCTCATCTATCTAGCATAAGAGTCTGTACTTCAGCTTCTGAAATATCAGACACTTTATTCAAAAAGCTAGTCAATTGATAATTGTTTGATTGATTCAATTGATTGATAATTCAATTGGTAATTTGTTTCACATGTACCTTGTGTTTGCACAGCCATCTGTCTTTCCCTCACTTCCTTCTCCTGCCTCACAGTACTTTAAATCTATCAGTCTAGCAACTCTATGCATCTGATGAAATGAATTGTAACTCATGAAAGTGTGAGCCTTTTAATAAAATGCATTAGTTGGAAAAATGCCATCAGGCTCCTCCTCATTTTGGATTTCACTTGGAAAGGATCTGGTAATGATAATGCAATTACTAGAAATTTACATGTATTGAAATGAATCCCATTGCTTGGCGAAAAATTGTGCTATACTGATGACATGTGAGATAACCACATAGCTGCTACGAAGACCCAAATTAAACTGAAGCAATCTATTGCCAGTTTTTCAGCATTAGGGATTCTGTTGCTTGAGTCTACTGTGTTTTGTGATTTTCTACCAGGTCTCTATTTCCAGCATTTTTACAACCTTTCCTCTTTCTCAATTAATTGCAAATAGCCCAGCATTTTGCAGGAACTGCAGTGTCTTAACCTACTTCAAGATACATATATTGTAAATTGCAATAAATTAGTTTAGAAGTTACAAATGCAAGGATTAAATACACCTGATTCCTGGCAACGCATACTCATTGTATGGCCAAGGTGGCGCAGTGGTTAAATGCAGCACTGCAGGCTACTGCTAGATCAGCAGTTCAGCGGTTCAAATCTCACCGGCTCAGGGTTGACTCAGCCTTCCATCCTTCCGAGGTGGGTAAAATGATGACCCAGATTGTTGGGGGCAATATGCTGACTCTCTGTAAACCGCTTAGAGAGGCCTGAAAGGCCTATGAAGCGGTATATAAGTCTACTGCTATTGCTATACTGCTATTGCCAGAGAGACCACTTGTACCTCCACAGAGAAAGTGAGGACCTCTTTCTCTTTACCTAATCCAATAAACCAATGCATTTAAAAGATTTTAAACATCAGCTCAACTCATGCTATTTATAAAATAAATAAAGGAAAGGACATATACCTGATTACCATCTCGTATATAGTATCTCTTTTCTATAACCTAAAACACAATAAAAAAGAAACAGTATTAAATGTGATCCATCCATGATACAGCACCAACAGCCCTGATGCAAACTTTTATCTTTCCCCACTGGGAACAGGGAAACATCTAACAGCGGTTCATGGATGATCTGCCTAGAAAGCATCACTTAGCAATTGAAGCAATCAAACCTTGGTGCTGAAGGGTTGCAGAATTTAGGATGAGGAGAAAATGACCTAAGTTTCTCTGCACAATGGAAAGAGCAGCTTGCCCTGATCTTTAAGACATGCATGGATCATTCAAGTTTACCAGAAGAGGAAAAAGTGGCAGAGGGGAGAAAAAAATGTTTATAGAAACTACAATTAAAGAAGTAGTAAGAAGAAACCTATAGAATAAGATACATAGAAAATAAGGTTTGGAAACAAACTTGTACTGTATGGATAAATCCACAGGAAATCCACATTATAAAATGTACAATAACATTTAGAAATAGATTTAGAGAGAAATACTCCCTGTTTTCTTTTAAAACATTATTTTTATATAATGAGTCCACCCTGCAACAAAGAGAGACTAAGCTTCAATTCTTATATGTAGTCTGTACTATTTCCCCAAAAGACCCTGTGGTAGTTAAACAAGGGTCAGTTTTCATCTTAACTTGGTTCATAATTTGGGGAACATTTGCTTTTCAAACCTTTTTTCAAATCTTAGTGTTTTCTGTTAGCATGCTACTATGTCATACAATTACAATAATCATCATGGGTAGTTCTGTATAACAAAATTCACATTATTTTGCAGTTTGGATTGTAACAACAAGCCAAAGTTTAGAATTGTAGAACCTTTACAGCCAATAGTCATAGTATAAGGAATATGAATCAATGCTTAGACTATCAGTTAAAGAACCTGTCATAATAAAGGACCAGATATGTGGCTTCTGTGTATCACATACATAAAAAAATAACAAGATTACCATATAGAAGTGTTCATTGGGTCACATGGTAATGCCAAAAGATCCTCATGTCAATTAGCTAACACAAAAGATGACTGGAAATTCACAAGCCTGGGGGCCAGTACAAGAGCTAAAAAGCTTTTCTGAAATAATGAAGTATATTCAATGTGGAACATATATCTGTGTGTGTGTGTGTGTGTGTGTGTGTGTGTGTGTGTGTGTGTGTGTGAAGCATACCTGAAAACAAAGCACCCATTGCATGTCGACTGATGGGGGAAAAGGTTGGCAGAGCAATGCCGTGAGCCTGAGAGAAAGCAATGATGATCTCTGGCTGAAAAGAAACATCTGGTCAGAGTATAACTGTCTTTCTGCCAGATGAGATAAGACAGATCAATAATAAGGGCACAAAGTTCACCAGCATGATGCATAGAGGTAACTGGCAAAAGAAAAATACTTTCAATGTAAGCAAACATTAAGAAGAATGGCTTCAAGTACTTTAAAAGTCAACTAAGAAAGTACTGAAATGTTCCAAGAAAAAGCCCATCTCAGAAATAGAGATACATGTTAAATTTAACAACAACAACAACAAAAAAACCAAACAAGAAAAAATGTTGACTAATTCTGAGCAGAAGAATGAATAGTAAAAAAGCCACAATAAACTTGCATTGATGGCCTTTCACAGAAAGCGGAAAGAGACATTTGAAAAGAAATCCATTTAGAATTAAAAGAACGGAGAACAGAAAGTTTCTGAAAGGCATCAAGACTTCTTTTTCAGTAGGTGGCATAAAATAAGCTTCCAGTCTGTCAGACACATATCCACAAATCTTGTGACAGGAAATTCTTGTGAAGGGGGAGATGACCAAAATGCCATTTGCCCTCAAGGGAGTAGTTTAGGAGATCCAAACTGCATGCACCACCGAAGAAGGTGGTGAGCATGCACTGCTTTGATTGTAACAGATCTTGGCAGGAATCCTGGAGAAGTGAAACAATGCAACACAATATTTAACAATGTGTAACACCTAAATGTTCAGATGTCACATTTGGCATTTTAGTACATAATACCTAACTCTGATTTCTTGAAAGTTCTGGTATCGTTGATTGTTTTTCTAAGATGCCCACGTGCATATTCAGACATCAGCAGAACAGTGATGTCTCCACAGCATACAGATCAGACCCTCAAATTTAATGGGTTCTTTACAAGTAGTCCTTGATTTACAAGCACACTTAAGCTCAAAATTTCTGTTGCTAAATGAGATATTTGTTAAGTGAATTTTGCCCCATTTATGACTTTTCTTGCCACAGTTGTTAAATGAATCACTGTAATTGTTAAGTTAGTAATACAGTTGTTAAATGAATCTGGGTTCCCCACTGATTTTGTTTGTCAGAAGGTCGCAAAAGGTGATCACATGACTCCGGGATACTGCATCTGTCATAAATATGAATATGTATGAATTTTGATCACACGACAATAGGGACGTTGCAGTGGACATAAGTGTGAATAACAGTAATAAGTCATTTTTTTCATTGCCGTTGTAACTTTGTATGGTCTCTAAATGAACTATTGAAAGTCAAGGACTTCTTGTATTAACAGGAAAAGGAATTTTCTTGATCCCCTTTGTTCAATATTTTTTCTTAAAGGTGTAATCTTGTCATAGGTTCCTTTTAGTGATGTTGACAAACTAGACAGACTCTTTTGGATCTTACTGAGTAAAAATATTTTATTATTAAAATAGATTAAAAATAAATTAAGTGCTTATATAAACAAGAATGTGATTTTATTTTTATATTTTTAAATATTATCTTTTTATAATTCTAGGAGTCAGTTCTTCTTTACCCTACAGTAAAATCATGAGAAGGCTGACTGTCTAAAGAAAGCAATGAAAACAGAGGCTACAGATAGCACAACAACCCTAATAACAGCTGATCTTATTAGTAACAGGCTGTTAAAAGCATTCTACATGGTGGCATGTTTTACAAAAGCTGAATAGTCCTGGCTTTTTCTTTGGCACTAAAATAAACATAACAAACCTAATCTAGGTTATGTTCTTGTTGTCATTTCTACAGCCCTGATGTTGATAAGGTGTAAGAAAGAGATTAACCAAATGCAGTTCAAGCAATCCAAGATGAAATACTAAAGCAAAGGGCTTAACATTATTGTTAGGCAAATTCAGGTAAAGCACAAAATTGTGGGAATTGTGCCAGAAGCCTACAATTTCTTCTACTTCCTCAATAGGCTGCTGAACCTAGCTGCATACTCTGAGAGGTCTGTGCAGGTCTTATGCAATAAAGCAGGGGTGTCAAACTCGATTTCATTGCGGGCCGCATCAGGGTTATGTTTGACCGTGTGTGTGTGTGTGTGTGTGTTTGTGTGTGTGGCCAGGGTGGGCATGGGCAGCTCAACATCACTCATATTGGGGACCCCATGGGCCAGATCTAACCACCCATGGGGCGAATCTGGCCCATGGGCCTTGAGTTTGACATCCCTGCAATAAAGACTGTTTAATTTAGATCAAGTTGCAGAAGTCTTTCATTCTGTATTCTGTCAACTGAGAAGAATAAAGATTTACCTTATCAAAAAATCTGCTAAGCTTGACAGCATTGGAGGAACCTGCAGCCAAGTAACGAGGACTTGTACAATCCTGAAAGATCAAAACATCAATTTTGCCTTTAATTTCTTAATTTGCTCATTGGTAGATAGTCCCTTAAAAGTACAGAAGAGTTTTGAAGTGTGAGATGCAACAAATGTTCAAACAAACCTACTGTTGCCAATACGTCAGGCATTTCTCATAAAATATTTTTTTCTAATATGCGGTATTCACTAAAAAAAGCAGAACCAAAGAACATAACACAACTTTCTTTTTGGGAAGAGAGGCATTTGTAGAATATAATCTACCTATTGCTTTCAGATAATTAGAGAGAACTTATCAGACAGCTGTCATTAGTTCCTGAATATTTGAATCTCTGATTTAAAAAAAAACAAATGAACCTCTATGTTTCTTTAGGTACTGTATTATATTAACTGGATAATAGTGACTTTTCTAAAACTTCAAGTTTTTATTTTCACTAGCAGCTTTTCACAACTAAAATATAATATTTCTTTCTTAATTCTTTTTTTACACTTAGCATTTTCATTTGTGTATTCATTCCACCAAATACAAGCTGAAGCAAAGTTTTATTTTCACATCCAACAGTAATAGTCTTTCTCTCAACATAATCAGTGTTCTTTCCTTTGGCAGCTTAATGTATCTATCCTATTGCAATCTCCCTCCCACCACTGCTGTATTGGTTACCTGGTTTTGTAAATCATTAGTGAGTAGCAATCAATACACTTGATCCCCAGAAGACCAAAAACCTGAAGCCCCCATTCCAGAATTACTTGTCGAAGACAGAGCAAGTGTATTTATATACCACCATGTTTTTGACATACTTATTTAGGCACCAGATCATTCTTCACCCAGATAGCCAATTTGATGTGGTGGTTAAGGTTTTAGACTAGGAATAGAAAAATCCAGTTCCTAATCCTCCCTCAGCCATGGAAGCTCATTGGATACCCTAGGCCAGTGCCAGTCATTCTCTGAGACAAACCTGCCACAGAGTGCTATAGCTGTAGAGCAAAGTAGGAGGACAGAAAGATCTGTGATACTCTTTTTTATTAGGACTGGGAAAAATGCCTTTTTGGAAGAAAGGTAGAGGGGCAGATTGCTAATAGAAATTCCAGGTAACTGAATGGTAAGGACGAAAATTGAACTATAGAATTCTGCTAGCAATTTTTACAAATTCAAATAATTTGTTATCATCTTCCTTAAATATATAGTTCCCAACTTTGAATTGTCTAATTCTATTAGCTTGCTGTTTCAACACTGTATAATTTTTGAATAAATTAATGTTTAATTTTGAGAGTAAAAATTAATATCTAGACCTATAAACCTGCATTATGTGCATCAATCTCAATTTAGTTAATATTTTTTAGTTTTGTGCTTGCCTTCCCTCAAAGAAGCTGAGATGGTATACTAAATAAATAAATAGCAACCTTTAATTAAAACAAAATCAACAATAATAAAAGGACAGATGTTGACAACGAGACCCAAGATTTAAATGCGTTGAAGCAAAATTCACTTGGATAAAGGAATATGAGTGACTGTTATGCCTGGATCCCCTTTCTTGTGGATCTCCGGTGTGGTTAGAGCATACTGATCTCATATATCGAACAACATTCTGTACAAACTAAAGATAGTCTTGACAAAAGTCATTCAGCGGAAGCTGTGCTACAGCCTAAGGTTTGCAAGACTTGGATTTCTCAATCCTGGCATGCAGCTATAAATATGTTGGGAAAAACTGTTTCCTGATTAAAACGATCAAATCAGTCTTCAGAGTTATGAAGGTCTTCAGGGCTAGTTACCAACTTTCATCCCCTCCATGTTAAATCTTGCATAATACACACACTTAGAGGAAATGGAGGAAAGATTCAGAGGAGATCCTTGGGCTCTTTTGAAGTTCAAGATATTTGATGCTATGGCTCCCTCTGTAGGCAACGGGAAGACAAAATGGCTCAGCTTATAGTTATCTGGAAATATGAGTCTACTTTAAAAGGGCTTTAAACCTTGTAGTGATCTCATAAGAACCTATGAATGAAGAATTCATTCATATTGTACGATATAGCAATAGCACTTAGACTTATATACTGCTTTACAGCTCTCTCTAAGCAGTTTACAGAGTCAGCATATTGCCCCAACAATTTGGGTTCTCATTTTACCAACCTCAGAAAGTTGGAAGGCTGAGTCACCGTTGATGAGATCAGGATCTTTCCATTCCTAGATGGTGAGATTTGAACTGCCAAATTGCAGGCAGGCAGCAGTAAGCAGAAGTAGTATTTCACTCCAGCCACTGCACCACCATGACATATAGACTCTGGATATGTTTTGAAGAAGTTGAGACTCTGGTCATTCCAGTATTCTTGAAGTCTTCCTCATGAAGGATTGGGGCTCAATTCTACTTACCATATGTACCGTATTTTTGAGAGTATAAGATGCACAGGAGTGTAAGGTGCACCAAGGTTTTGAAGAGGCAATTTTTTTAAAAAAGTAGGTGGTAGATAGAGGGATAGAAAGAGAGAAATACAGTAGGTAGGTAGGAGAGAGAGTAGTTAGGTAGGTAGGTAGATAAAGGGATAGAGAGAGAGAGAGAGAAATAGAGAGAGAGAGAAATACAGTAGGTAGGTAGGGAGAGATAGAGAGAAATAGAGAGAGAGAGAGAGAAATACAGTAGCTAGGAAGAGAGAGAGTGAGTAGGTAGGTTGGTAGGTAGAGGGAGGGAGGGTAAGAAATACAGTAGATACCGTATTTTGAGGAGTATAAGGCACACCTTCCCCCACTAAAAGAGGGCGAAATTTTGGGTGCGCCTTATACACTGAATGTAGCCCCACCCACCGGTCCCAACCCTTTGGGCAATTTACCTCTTTGCAACAAATAGGGGCTTGCGGAGGCTTCAATAAGTTTTAGCAATTCCTGCAGCCTGTAACAGCTAATGATCGGGAGAAATTGAAAGTGAAACTTGCTGTTTGCGTCACATGGCAAATTGCTGGGAGGCAGAATTTTTTTCTTGTGCTATTCAGGCTGTTTGCTGCAAGGAGTAAGTCAACAACTATAAATGCCTATAGAATGTTCAAATTATTAGACTTATTTTTTAAAGACTGCTTTATTATTATTCTAGACAACTTAAGAAAATGAAGCTTTTTAAAATAAATGCTTGATCTGAAGATGCTATTGTTTTAAAAAGTGCTATTCTTTTAAATAGCAGAGAATAACTATACTTCCAGAAAGCACATCAATTTTAACAGCCTCTGTACAAGTATAGTCTGAAATATAACACTACAAACAGTATATATTGTCTGTACTGTTTGTTGCAAGGAGGCAAATTGCTGAGATGCAGATATTTTTCCCTTGTTTTCCTCCCCAAAATCTAGGTGTGTCTTATACTCCGAAAAAGTGTTTAGGAGCATCTTATACTCCGAAAAATAAGGGAGGGAGGGAGGGAGAGAGAGTAGGTAGGTAGGTACGTAGGTAGATAGAGGGGGGTATAGAGAGAGAAATACAGTAGATAGTTAGGAAGAGAGAGTAGGTAGGTAGATAGAGGGATAGAGAGAGAGAAAGAGAGAGAGAGAAATATAGTAGGTAGGGAGGGAGAGAGAGAGAGAGAGTAGGTAGGTAGGTAGATGTTTCCAGGTGTATTTATCCATGTGCTGGAGAAGGAAATCGCTGACAATCTGCAACACCTAAGACTTTGTTTCTGCTGGCACAGCACATTATCAATCTAATTCACATCAATCACTCTAACTAGAGAGCTTTCCGAAAGGGGAAAAAAAAAGTTTTTGCACTCTGCAAACTTCCCAAAAACGGCCTGTTTTTCGCAAAAACTGGCCCGTTTTTTTAAAAAAAGGCATGAATAGCCTTTGGTGTGCTTACAGAGTGCTCCACGGAGGGGGGGAAACGAGCAATAAGCGGCCCATTTTTTGCAAAAATGGGCCCGTTTTTTTAAAAAAAGGCATGAATAGCCTTTGGTGTGCTTACAGAGTGCTCCACGGAGGGGGGGAAACGAGCAATAAGCGGCCCATTTTTTGCAAAAATGGGCCCGTTTTTTGTCAAGAAAATTGCATGCATAGCTTTATGGAAGCTTATGGAGTGCTCCTGAGGGCTTGGGCAAAATTAAGTAAAAAATGACCCGTCAATTCAATTCTATAAGATGGAGCATGAACTGAGTCAATGGATACTGTTTTGGGAGGCAGGTCAGGATTGACTGTTTGGCACATGGGACATTGATCTTAGGTCATACATCGTTTGAGTCAGACAGGACTTGTTTGAGAGTCACAATGTCTCTGAAATTCTCATTCCTTTTAGACTACACAGAGAAAATTCTTGAGAACCATTCTGCTGGTGGAATTAGTTTTATGGCCTTGATTTTTAGCAGATGACTGATCTAAATCTGGAAATGCTTCTCTGTTGCAACCTGGAGAGAAATATAAATGTTTACATCTTGAAATTCTATGGCATAGCCATAGGCAACTGTAAACCACCAAGTGTCTATGATGAGAGGAATTTGCAATGGATAAATAGACTTAAATCGTTCTTTACTACTGCCTCTTTACAAAATTGAGCAGGATCAAAGAACTGGCAGGAAAGCTGCTGTGTGAAGTTACATTCTTTGATTCTGTCTGCAAGGGGGGAAAAGCTTACGGGTACCTTCCAGTGATAATGGGAAATGAGCAGGATTTATTTCAGGGAAATGATTATTTTCGGAAATAAATTCCTGGTCAAAAATAGCATTAATCCAAGCTGACAAAATAAAGAATAATACAAACCAGATTGATTTCTTCTGCACTGAAATCCTCAACCAGAAAAGCAGTTCTGCTCAAGACCTCATTGCGTTTTGTCTCTGGGATTTGATCTAATTTTGTTCCTATGACAAGCAGTGGAATCTGGTTATCAGCAAACTGTTCCCGATCATAGTCTCTGTGAAGGAAAGTGAAGATAAGATATAAAACAGTTTATGAAGTGTTGCAGGTGGCACACTAGCTACAGTTTCCCCAAAAAACTCCTTTGCCACAGCCATGTATCAAGATTTGCTCTTTGTTGGGGAACGCAACCCCATCTTTAAGCTGCTTCACCCAATCCCTGAATACAAAAGTATTTCCATTATTTCTGGATTTAATTTCAGGATAGTGATCAAGCATGAAAAGTATAAAGTATCACTAAGGAAGATGACAGCAGCAGCACTCTTCAAATTAGCCCAGAACATATTTTATTGAAAGTGCAAGGGAATTTTATACAGGATAGGAACCTCAATCTATTTGTAATTGTTTATTACATGTTTTCCCTGCTTGAGATCTCTTACATCACAATATAACAACAAACAAATCTAAGATGGATATGGCAAATGGAAAGTAGAGATAATATACATGTACAAGGCACGTTTATGAAAATCTAGTGTCAGGCCTTCGAGATAGGCTAGATCAAGAAACAGTCACTGCAAGGATTCCAAAAACGATACTTTGTTGTGGCAGTATATAGTAGCATATTTGTGAAAGCCAGTCCAAGTTTCTCTTATACTAAACAAAATCAAGATGTGGTTATTTTAAAAAAATTTCTCATACTCCCTTCTATCTCTGGATTGAGCAATATCTTGAGCATTTTTTCTCTTTTTAATGGAACGGATTGCTCCTTCCTTTCTCCCTTAACAGCCATCTCATATCTGCCCTAAAGTCAGTTCTCGGGTCTTAAACATCAACATTCAGCTCGAGTTTTAGAAAGCTGCATGTATGTTAAATCTTCCATTGCAAAGGCAGGATCTGATCATCATAGAAATGTAGTTCCAATAGTGGAATCCAATTTTATAGTCTCTTTAAAATACCCAAATATCCAGAAAAAAGCAACCATTTGCACTAGTATTCCACATGAACCTAGAAGATTAAAATGGGGCAAACCTCTAGCCTCCTACCTTTCATAAAGCATTGAAAACCTGGTTTTCCTCCTAAGTGCTGGGAAGAGCTGTCTGCCTATTGGAAGCTTGATTTCATGCCAGGTTTTGTATTTGGTTGTTATAGTTTTAATATTGTCTTTGTTTTAATTTTTGATCGGGAGCCCCAGTTTGTTGTAAGATGAGAGAATATAAAAATCTTTCAAATAAATAAATAAGGTCAAGTTAATTTCATCTCTAGTTTTCAACATTCTATAATCTGATAATGGGCTACCTTTTTTCTGGTAAGTGCTCTTTAGCAATCTCCTATCTCCAAATCCCTCCAAATCTGGAGAAAATATCCTGTTTCTATTATTTTTAATTATATATTTTTCATTATTAAAATGTATTCAGTGCAAAGCTATGAATCATTTTAATGAAGTATTCAGTTTGTTTCGGAGATAAATTCTGACTAGCCGTGAACATTAGCCAAAATTGATGTATTTATCCCAAATATGTTTTTCAAAAGGCAACTGGACTTTGTTTTTTCCTTGAAGACATTTTACTTCTCATCCAAGAAGCTTCTTCAGATCTGATTCAATGGTGGGGAATTGAAAAACACCCTTGGGACTACCATGACCTGGATGATTGAGAATTTCCATAAACAATGTATTTTTCTTATTCTACTTTGTAAAGTTGAATATATTTAGACGTATTTTTGCTATTAAAACTGTTGGTCACTGCTACTCCTTATGTATGAAACACATACTATGACTTTCACACAACCTTTAAGGACAGATTTCTAAAGAGAATATTGCTAGAGAAGGTGGACCTTCTTTTTTCTCTGAAAAGAGCCTACACATTTTCAAAATTTTACAACATGCCATCCTTCCATCTAATTCACATGGCTATCACAATGATAGTGGATGGCTGTATATTCTACCTACTTACCCATTTGTCACCAGAACGCTAGATGGAGTCACGTCTTTGTTGAGAGCTTCCAAATACCATCGATACAAGTTTTGGGAGGACTTTTTGTTGGTTAAATCGTGCACTAAAATGATTCCTAAGTAAGAAAAGTTTTTTTAAATTTTTTTCTCTAAGATTACCAAAAGCATATTAAAAGACAGCAATTATAGAAACAAAGCCAGGTCTCAAAACAGCACAAAAATGAAACTGTGTTTCCCCGAAAATACAACATGTCCTGCTAATAAGCCCAGGCCTGGTTTTTGAGGTGGGTGTAAATATACACCCTCCCCCAAAAATAAGCCCTAGTGAAAGGGTGCTGTGGCAAGTACAGGATGAAGCCCTTCCCTTCCCCCGTCACCCCAGTGCTTCTCGGTTCCTTAACTGGATCAGTTGAGCCGATCCGGCTGCCATTAAAAAAACAGCTGATTTGCAGGTGCTGCTCAGGCCGTGGCCTCCAGCAAGTGCTGCTGCTTTTGCCATCAATTACGGCCACAAAAGCAGCAGGAGGCCAAGTGATGCACCCCAAGCACCTTGCACCGGCCTTCCAAAGGGTACTGTAGCAGCAGTTATCCACAATTTTTTTATCATTATTTCGTCCCGACCCATGTGGCCCAGTGAACCACGTGGATCGGGACAAAATAAGGGTTAAAAAAATTGTAGATAGCTGCTGCTACAGTACCCTTTGGAAGGCTGGCTTGAGTCTCCTGCTGCAAAAATGGCTGCGCCCGAGACTGCTTTTGGGAGAGGAGGCAAAAGGGAAGCAATCAGCTTCATCTCGCCCTTGCTCTCAGCCCCCCCTTCGGCTGAGCTCAAGCAGAGAAGTGGCCCCCAGGGTTTCAGGAGCAAAGTTGAGGCTGACAAGAGTCAGGGCAGGGGGGAATGTCCAGTGCGGCCCCAGCGCTCTTCTTTCCTTGGAAACAGAATCTTGGAAGTGGGAAATGGCATTCCCAGGAAGGGTGGGTATGTCGGTATGTGTATAAAAAACACAAAGCGAGGGAGCCAGCAGCCGTGGATTAAGGAGCTTTGTGAAACGTTATGCCTACACGCAAAGTTTGGCAAGGGAGTGAGAAGAGATACTTCCCTCTCTTGGCAGTGTTTTGCTTGAAAATATTTGAGATTCAGCCAGAGAGACGGAAGAATGAGCCCTGCGAGGAGATGCTGCCGACACTGCTGCCTGCAGACAGAGCGAAGTTCATTGAAGACCTCTCCAGCCAGCCCACAAGACTATCTGAAGGTGGAGGGGGGGAGATTTCCTGCACATCAGCAGCAGCGTTTTCTCACAAGGCTTCTTCCGACATCCCCAGTTGTATGGATTTCTATGCCTTCCTTTACGGGATGTTGCTTCGCACCTGGGACATCGGGAGAAGCCTTGTGCGGAGACGCCACTGCCAATGTGCAGGAAATCCCCAACTACCAATGTAGTTTCAACTGGATGAAGAGGTGGCTGGAGGTGGCGTTTGTGTCGGGTTGGGCTTTCTTTGAAAGGCGGAAGATCTGGGGAGCGAGAGATTTAGGAAGCCTGGGCTGGCATGGGTCTGTTTCTCCAGTGAAGCATCTGATTCATCCCCAGGGGTGAACGTTTCACCCTTCGAAATCTCTCTGCCCTGGCTTGGAAGCTGCAGAGGAAGCCTGCCATGCTTGGTGAGGGGGTGGGGGGAGAAGTGACAGCAAGAGGAGCCACCTCTCGCTCCATACCTCTCACTTCTCCCCACCCACCTGCCACCCATCTCGCTAAAGAAATGGTGGGGAAGGGAAGCAGCCTGGATTCTGTTAGCATTGGGGCAGGGTGGGAGGAGTTGGGCTGCGAGACGTGCGTCCTACCCGAGACTTGCAGCTCCGTCGTGTTCCTCACTGTTTTGCCCAGGGAAGTTGAAATTGCAAGATTTGTTTTTACAGGGTGCTTCCCTGGACAAAACAGCGAGAAAAAACGGCTCGTTTTTCGCAAAAATGGTTTTTTGTCAAGAAAATTGCATGCATAGCTTTATGGAGGCTTATAGAGTACTCCTGAGGGTGGGTGGGGGGGATTGAGAAAAAAGGGCCCATTTTTGCTCATTTCTGCCCTCCCCAGCCCCCAGGAGCTCTCTGAAAGCTTCCTACACGCTATGCATGGACATTTTGGTGAAGGGGCGGGGCTTCAGGAGGCAAAAAATGCTGTATTCCATGTATAAGACACACCCAGATTTTCAGCCTCTTTTTTGAGGGAAACAGGTGCGTCTTATACTCTGAAAAATACGATACATTGTATCCAAGAAAGTGAAGTATTTGAAATTGAAATTCAGCCAATAACTGTGCTTTAATGTAAAATTCTTGTTTGCAATATTTACGGAACATGGTCTACATAAATCAAACCATACATTCTGTAGAATGTAGCAGATCTTAAAACTGTATCCATTACCATTAACTGAATTGTAGAACATAAGACGTGTGCTTTTCACACTACTAGCACTGCCTACAGAACCACCAACATCCCATAATTCGATGAAATAGATCTTTTCATCTGGAGTTCCTTCTTTGTAGTCATGAATCTGGCAACAAGAAAACACATAGCATAAATAAATTTAAAATAACAGTAAATTAAAACCAGCATTCCACTACATAATGAAGTACCTCTGTAGAATATAGTAAAGGGGGGCTAAAAAGATAATTAGTTTGGTTCAGCAATGAGTTTCTAAGAATGCAGCTTCTTTGGCCTATGCCCACTATACAGTAGGGTTTTTTTTTCCAAATGGTAATGAAGGTAACAAGGTGAAAATTCCTTAATAGGAAAAAAGCAAAAAATAAGCACTTTCCTGAAGATACTTGTATTATATTTACTTATTCTGATGAAAAAAATCCAAATATGTTTTTTATGGAGAATGAATTATCTGAACCATTTAATTTGGCAGTCCCTTTATTACCAATTTTGGTGAAAAAAAATTAATTGCATGAAGATGATCTGCAAGAGTCCTCAAAGCTGCTACACTAAATCTTCAGGTGGATGCAAATATTATGACATCTAAGAGCCAGTTTACTTACAATTTGATCAAATGCACCCCAAATAGTTCACATTGATCAGTGGTGGGTTGCAGGCAGTACGCCCTGGTACGGGCGTACTGGTGCCTGGCAGGAGCACCGGGTACAGTTCCGGTATGGTGCTCCAGAGGGCCCACCCACCCGCCCTCCTTATCTGTGTTTGAGCTCTTCGGCGCTTCTGCACATGCAGCGTACGGCGCCTGCATGACGTTCTGCCGAGCAACTGGAGCATCACACAGCGTCACAGGAGGTAAGGACCCGTGTGTGCACGTGCTGCGTGCGTTCATATTTTGGACGCCAGGCCCCATTGCACCGTAATGGTTGCAACGGGACCCGGAACCCATCACTGACATAGATCTAATTAATTTTTAGATGCATGTTAATACTACAGATAAATTAAAAATACCCTGTGTCAAAGTATAATAAGCAAAGAATACACTACAAAAAAACATGTACCAGACACAATTTCATGATCATTTTTCCTGCTCTTTCTGTCTCTAGAACTCTACTCAACAATCGGCTTTGCAACTTTTCTGTTTTCTGATCAGAGAATGCTTCAAAAGGAAGCCTGGTTAGTAGCTATTCATTATTTGTCCCTAAGAATAATTTTGTATTCAGAAACATTTTTTGAAATAAAAGATGGCTAAATATGTCTTGGCAGCCAATCAGTATAAAACATCATCTTTCAAAGAATCAACTACCTACTGTACTCTCCACAAGAACTATAATGAGGATTACAGAATCATAATATATTTGCAAAAATCTGGATAGTTTCCCCCTCTTTGGCCATTATTTTTCTACTTTTATTCAATTCCTATCCCACTGACTTTATATACAGTGCATGTACATCTCTTTTACTTATTTTTATTGCATATTTTTGCAAAGATGCAGAAGAAAACAAAATATCAGTTATAGAAAACACCTGCAAGTTTATGAATATTTAAATACCTCCCCTAGACCATCGGATTTTAAATTTAAACGTGCCTGGGATAAACATATGTCCATCATCCAACAAAAATTAAAATAATTAAAAATAATAAATACATTAAAAAGTAAACAAAAAAAACCCTTCAAGGGGTGATGGACTATTAGGTCTTTTTCTGTTGTTCATTTTCTGTTTCTATATTTCTACATTGCTTTCCTTCTCACCCCCACCTCTGGCCATGTTAGAGTTATCAATAATGGGTAGTGCTCATCAACTAAGGGATACTCTTACATTGCAATTATGCTTTACTTCTGCAGTTAAATGTCACTAATTTTCTGTATGTAAAATATATTATTTCAAAGACATCACAAATTATCAGATGTTTCCACATACACGGACATCAACAGAGCAGCCAACCGTCCAGGATGGATTTCCCAGCATCTGATTGTGACATAATAGGTGAACAAGTGATGATTTTCCCACACCTGAAACAAAGTAATAAAATAAACCTTCAAAACTAACAAACATTTCTGCTGTCATTTTAGTTTTGCTATATAACTGAAATTAAATAGGAACAAACCACCCTAGACAGCTCTTATTGTGTCTCCTACTTAAGCAGGGAGTTGGACTAAAAGACCTCCAAGATCCTTTCAAATTCTGTCACTCTATATTCTATATAACAAGTGCAAAAATTAGATTCAGTATTGTGCAAGTTGGGTTTTCAAAAAAATGATGGACTAGATTGTTTGTCTATCTTCAAATGATTGTAAACTGATCTTCCATGGTTGACATATTTATTAATAGCATTAGAGGAGTATGGCATAACTGATGGCAGCCTGTAGGTAACTTGCCTTATCTTAAATAAATCTAAATAAATTTGGTTATTAATCCTTGGACAAATCATCACAAAATCAAAGATCTGTGGTGGATTATACCGGTAAGAGGATGTGGTGGCAGTGGCTTAATGATGCTGGACTGCTGCCTAGAAATTATTTGCACTTTGGCGGTTCAAGCCTGGCTCCATAAGATGGAGCGAACTCCAGTTTCTCGATCCCTAGCTCCTGCCCATCCAGCAGTTCAAAAACATGCAATATTGTAAGTAGATAAATGGGTACTACTTCAGTGGGAAAAACCTAGCTGTGTTCATGTATACGGAGAGCAGAAGCCAGCACTGGACCTGGCCAGATATGAGGCATCATGACAAGAGGTGAGGTGTGGTGAAAGCAGCAGAGGAATCTGGAAGAGCCAGTAACTTCAGTGCCACTGGTTAATTGGTGTAAAGCTAGTTCACCCCCTGCAGTGCTTCAAGGATAGAAAGGCAAGTGTCAAACAGAATGAACTAGCAATTTGGTTGTCAGGTCTGCTTTGTGTCTAGCATGTGTAGATTTCCCTGCCATTGTATACCATACACTAAATAAGCAAACAAACAAATCGCTAAGTAAAAATATGGTCTGTGATTGTACTCTATTCTCTTTTGTTGTTTTGTCACTATAATTAAGATTGATTTGACTAAAGATTCAAAACCAGTTGCTGGGAGGCAAGCACCATATATATTTGATATATTATTTCTTTTCATAATCATCATATTTTAACAGTTCCAGCAGTGAGTAAGGGGCTAGACTGATTATTTCTGTGAACACTTCCAAATCTGGGATTCTATATTCCTGATAGCTTTAATAGGGAAGAAAGAGACTAAATGAAATTTAATACAGACAAATGCAAAGTTTTTTTACTGCACTCAAATATTGAATACATAGGCATAGAATGACATATGAAACAAATTACAATAGGATATCATACATTTTACTTTGCTGAATGAGTTCAAGTGAAGGCTAAATAGTCATCCATTGGAAATGCTTTAATCTAGATTCTTGTACTGAGCAGGAAGACTAATTCAATGGTATAAATGGCTCTTTCCAATTCTGGGATTCTATTGCACCCAGAAATATCTTAACAGTTCTCTACATCCTAAAAGGGTGGGGGGAGGGAAGAGAATTATTATTAATTAACCGTCCCTCATCTTGCCTAAAGGTGACTTTATGAGGCTTACCAATCATTAAAACACCAATAAAATATGTAAATTTCAAAATAATAAACAGTCACATTGCACTTGATTTAAAATTGACAAAGATGGGGAGGAAGGGAGCAAAATGCACACGGGAAGGAGCTGGGGTCTTATCTTAGTCCATTAACCTGCTGCAGAATGATGACACACACCATAGTTATTGAAAACACACTATACACAAATGTTTGTATGAAGGGCTAATGTTTCTGCAACTGCACCTCTGTAGTATGTTAGTTCGAGAAACAAACAGGTTAATCAGGTGCGTTCCTAGAAACTTTGTTGAAACTCTTACACCATCGAGGGCTATGGCCTCATTTACATACACAGCAGAGCACTCTTCACTCCACTGGACCAAATTGAGACGGGAAGTAGAATATGGATGCGTTAAATAACCACGCTTTCTAGAAATCAGAAAAAAAATAGCTGTATTGTCTGTTACACTATTTCTTGTTCTGGTTTCCGAAGAAACCATTTTAAAGCAGAAAAGGAATTCCAAATAACTGCCAATTTGGAGCCCTGCTATATTATTTCTGCCCCATGCATATAGAGAGGCAGAGCGTGGTTCTTCTTCGTGGAGGACGGCTGCGGTCGTTCCTCACGCCCTCACCCACTCACCTGAATCACCCAACACAAGCACTTTCACCCTTTCTAAGGCAGCCATTTTTTCCCCCTTCAGGGCAATTACCAGAAGCAGCTGCCGACATAGGCCACCTCTCCACTTTCATTCTTCCTAAAATAGACCAATCAGAAATCGATTTGTACAAGCCTATCTTCTATTGGCCGATCACACGCTCTTTTCATTCCAATTGGCCCCAAGAGCTGCGGGGGTGGGGAGGGCCACTTAATGAGATAGGAAGTAGAACATAGTGTGTCGCACAGCAGTGACGTTTCGCGACGGCCGGACTTTCATTTGCAGTCGCCTCGAAGCAAACTTGTGAGGTTAGCGGCAACGGGGAAATTTGTTCGGGAGTTTCGCGTGTCAGTAAGACTCGTTGGGCGAGACGGCCTCGATCTGTTTGTTTCCGAACGCGGAGGCGATTGGGAGTGAAAGGAAGCCGCCATCCCTCCTGTCTAGTTTCAGTGAGGGGTCGGGCTTCGGATTGAATCCTTCTCTATGTAACGCGGTCGTAGTAGCTCGTTTTCTGCAGGTTGAAATGTAGTATGCCAGGGAGAAGGGTTCCATTGTGTAGTTGGCCTTCATTCGGCCTTTTCTTTCTGTTGGCAGCATCGGGAGCCAAGTGCGTCTGCCACTGCACAAACATGGGTTATTCTATTTCATTGTTCATAGACTAAATAAATTTACTAGTTGGTCATTCATCCACTCATCACACCCAAAGGAAAAGGTCTGACTTTTCCTTTGGAAAGAAGTATATAAGTGGTTGAAGCAAAATACTCCCACATCTTTCAATCTTTCAAAATATTTTTCTTCCATCTTGTTTGAAGAAAGATGCTTAGTGCCATGACTCAAGCTACCGGATGTGGGCTACAAAAGGCAATCTAGTGTCCACCAGGAAGTTTGCAGCTGACATTTGGTAGACAGAATAATAGTCCACGCGTAATGCAATCTTTCATCTGTTGGTCTTCTTAATGAAACATTGTGCCTTAGATGCCATTAATTGATATAGTCTTCACATACTTGTAATTCTTGTACAGACTGGAAGATAGGAATACAATAGATTTTTTTTCCTGCATGTATAAGAACAGTGAAGAAGGCAAGATTAGAAATAATGTTATATATGCATTTCTAATTTTATGTTATTTATTATGCTTATAGTTAATTATAGTGGACAGTGGATTTGATACTGCTGAGTGGAAGAAAACAAGAATTTGAATATAATATTTGTTTTGCAAGATAACAGCTATGACAGATCCAGACATTCTCACGGAGGTCCCAGCTTCTCTGAAACGCCTTGCTAAGTATGTAGTACGTGGTTTTTATGGCACTGAACATTCTTTGACTCTGGACATTCTAATTCGAAACACATGTGTAAAGGAGGAAGACATGTTGGAGCTTCTGAAGTTTGATCGGAAGCAGCTGCGAGCAATTCTCAACACTCTTAAAGGTGACAAGTTTATCAAATGCAGAATGAGAGTGGAGACTGCTCCGGATGGGAAGACCACCAGGCACAATTTCTACTTTATTAATTATCGTCTACTGGTCAATGTGGTGAAGTATAAGTTGGATCATATGAGAAGAAGAATTGAGACAGATGAAAGAGACTCCACTAACCGAGCCTCTTTCAGGTGTCCTATTTGTTGCAGTACCTTCACAGATTTAGAGGCAAATCAATTGTTTGAACCTAATACAGGTAAGATACAAGAATTCCTCAAAGGGCCATCTTATCTGGTAGAGTTGATTTGGGGATAGAAAATGTCTATATATTTGGTTGTTCCAAACTATTTTTTAAAGGGTTGCAGAAGTCAACAGTTGTTATGGCAATTGAGTTAGCAAGATATTAAGACTTAATAGGAATAAAAATAATGGAAGTGTATTTATAATATAAATATTGCAAAAATATTAAGAGAGAAATATTACAGAGTATGTAACCAAGACATGGTCACAATGTAAATGGTAGGCTTAGTAAATGTGAGCTGCACCAAAGAAAATGCATTTGGGAGAGAATACCTCATTAGGATAGTCTAGTTGCAATCTTGCCCAAAAATGTAAATGTATCATAAGAGAGAAGTTATTTATTTATCAGAATTATTCAGTTGCAAAATTGGAAAGATTCAAAACAGATTATATTAAAAACTCAGGAAAACAAACAATTAGAATGCAAAAGGTATAAAAACTAAATGATGCAATGGGGGAACTACATAAAAATTAATTTTGGTTCATTTCAATGAAAATGCTTGGTTGGAACCCAAAGGACCTTATCCCTGGTGTTTTTAAAGTAGAGTAGCGCCAAATGGACCTTTGTAGAAATAATGTACCAGAGGGCAGAAAAAGTATGCTTCTGGGATCCTGCAAAATTGCATTTTTTATCTGTGAAAGCTTTCTTGCCACAAGGTCATATGACAGAACATGTTGAGGGCTGCCTGATAGCGGATGAGAACTTGACTAAGACCATAATCAGAGCTGGATACTCTCTTCTCTACCACATCCTTTGCACTTCATTTTCTGTCATGTTTACATCAGACTTCTTTTTTTTTTTTCTCTCCGATGTGTACACACTCATGAACTTGGAGGGCTTCTCCTTGGAGGGAGAAAACAATAGCCCTGCTGACTTAACTAATTGCCTATTTTGTCCAATATTTTGTGGCACTTTGGCTAACAAACTGCTGACAGGAAGCTCAGGAGCCTAGCCAGGAAAGCAGTGGCAGCTGCTACTGAAGGAAGGTTGTTTCTGATTCAGAAGATAAAACAGTTTTCAAGTCAGTTAGCCACTCACTGACTGATTCTCCATGAATTTGTCCTGTCTTTTTTAAAAACCATAAATTGGTGGAGTTCATCAGTTAAGTAAATTAACTACCACCTAAAAGGTAGATAAAATACTTTGCCTTCTCTATGTTTTAATTTTTCACTAAATAAATGATTTTTAAGTTTTACTCTGCACAATCCATCAAATAATTTAACAATTAATTAGCATTTTATATTTCCTAATTTTTACTGATTTATTTTCTGTATAGGAATATTTCGCTGCACATTTTGTGAGACTGAAGTGGAAGAAGATGAATCTGCAATGCCTAAAAAGGATGCAAGGACACTTGTAGCACGATTCAATGAACAAATAGAACCTATTTATGCATTGCTTCGTGAGACTGAGGATATTAATTTAGCTTATGAATTACTTGAGCCTGAGCCTATGGAGATTCTTGCATTGAAGCAGAGGTGGGCCAGAGTATTAATTTGTCTGAATTTGGTAGTCAAGTGTTGACGGGCTTCTCAAATTCTGTTTCTAAAAATATATATCATTGCATATGGACCTTTATGATTTAGGCCAGTGTCTACAGATGATGGTTGTATAATCCCAGTATGATACTAAACACATTTGCCAGCATAAATATCTGATAAATTTTAATAAATTGGCTGTAATCATATGCACTCACAGAAAAAAAACATATTTAACTGAGCTGGACTTCCAACTAATGCATGGAATATATAAACATTTCAACATTTGTTGTTTCTCTGTGGTTCATTTTATTGTAATTTCAATTTACACATTTTTTCCCTTTTCAGAATTGAAGACATTTTTTTCATTTCTCCAAATACATTTTTATATAGGATAATAGAGTATTAAAGTACAATGAGATTGTTCTTTAATACAAATCTTAACATAGAGAAAAAGTTAATATCTTGTTAAATTAAAAAAGTTTTGAGGGCTTTTTTAAAAGAGTTCTTAGTATCTTAAAGACTGAAACATTTTCATTGCATATCTGAAATCCTATCCATATGTACCTGAGATGTGGTTCCACTAATTACAGCAATGCTTGCTTCCGAATGCATAGATTTGATTACTAAGCAATATTAAGTAGTAACACAACAGAGACATATTAATATAACATACAACTGTAAGAGCAGATTAACAGAGTGAATTACTGAGAGTTCATAGGCTCTTAGCTGAAAAATAATCTGTTAGGCTTTTTTAATAGGTATTCTGCAGTAAGCAGTTCAATCAATAAATATTTATGTTATCAATGACAGCAAAATGTAAAAGAACAGCAAACAGTGAAGCAAATAAATGCAGTAATGTACTAACAACTAGCAAAATAAGTCACATAATATATAGCATTTTACGATGTTAATACAGTTTTTACCTGATTGACAGTAAGCAGGGATTGGATATAGTAACCTACAGGCCCCTTTGAACTCAAATATTCTACTGTACTGATTCCATTTTATTTGGCACTGGCTATCCATTCTTCATTTTAGATTATCTGCAAATTTGATAAAATCCCATCTGCAGAAATAGGCAACTTGTTGCCTCTAGTACCACTCAGAATGCCTATTCCATTCTGTACCCTGTCCGACTAATACCTTTTAGATTATGTTAAGTAAAAAAATAAATGGCAAGCTGTCATGTTGCAGAGCTCTAGTGTTAACGGTGATTCTCACTTAACAACCACTTATTCAGCAATAGTTTGAACTTACAATGGTGCTGAACAAGTCCTTAGGAAGGTTGCAGCATCTCCACGTGATTGGATATAGTAACCTACATGATTGCCATTTGCAACCTTCACTGCTGGTTTCAACAAGCAAAATCTGTGGAAAAGCCAACAGGGGGGTTACAAATGGTGACCACATGATAATTGTGCTTAGCAATGCTATGGAGTTTGTTTAGCAATGAAAACTAGAAGTGCTGGAACTGTGTTGCTAAGTAGTTTGGTCATATGATTTTACACTTTACAGACATGTCCCTTAGTGATGGAAATCCTGATTCCAGTTATCATCACTAACTGAGGACTACCTTTCCAGGAGTACATAGGTGGCTCTCAGAGGCATTTTTAGAAAAGAAACATTGGAGATAGCTTTAGTCATGTGTTTGTCTGGAGCTGTGTCTTTATTTGTACAATGCTCAGAATTCCTCTGAGGGAGATGTGATAAAAAAAGTAAGGTCAAAAAGGAATTTATGGACAAAAATGGTAAGACTGCAATATCCCCGAAGTTTATATTTCCATTGCTTCTAACATTCCTCTAGAACAGATGGCATTTCTGTAATCCAGCTGTAATAAGTGTGTAGTGATTTTTAAATCCTTTAAAAATGAGTATTG